CTAATAAATCCATCACTACGTTTTACAACTACATCACACTTCCGCCGACGCTGGTGGGCTACAGGGCAGTCGTGAAGTTTAAGAAGGCCAGAACTCTCGAATTGTGAGAATGTAGATAAGGCAAGGATGCATTTTTCGTATTTCGTTTATAAGTAGGCTTTCTTTATGGGAAAATTCAATTACTGGTCCCCTTATCACCGTAAACAAATTAAGGTGAATACACCTTATGCATTTGCATTTTTCATTGCAATCGAGTAGGTTAATTATATTTATAGGAAGTAGATTTTGAATACGAGTTATAATCACCCTAGGTAGCATAGTAGGTACAGCACTCTGTTATATGGGAAGTGGTAGCATTATATTTATTCAGAATGAGAGACGTGAATATACTGAAAACCATAATAAATTTGTTTTTGTTTTCAAGTAGGCTGTCGTGACTACAAATAGACCTTTAACAAGAACTGTATTCACGCTATTTCATTTAAGAAAATGAAGGACCGGTAGTTGAATTTTCCCATCTAATTGCGCATAGCCTTGCCTCCAAAAAGTTTTTCATCCATAGTGAACTGCGGTTTCTACCTCGCCTAGTCTTATCAACACCCTACGCTACGCTGCGACGAGTTTCCATGGGTTACAAAGCAGAAGTGAATTTCAAGGAAGCGTAATATTGTAGGTTTGCTATAATCGCGTTCTCCTTTCGTTGTATAGAAGTGGTTTGAACCCGTTTTCACCACATGGTCATATTGTCAGAGAGACCTAAATGAACGCAACTTATCCGGAGTCTTTTGTCATAGTATCCATGGTACTTTCAAGTATTGCTCGGAGAATGTTGCTAAAATGAGTTCAAACCAACGCGATACAGCGAAATGAGACCGCACACCATCTTGATCTTCATGGCTTCAATTAAAAGGAGCAAGCTAGAAATTGGGCCAGTAAATGGCCCGACATGCAGATAGGGTTAACTGTGAATGTACCAGAACAGGAAGGATTCCATAGTTGCTCAGCAGAGAATTGGCCAAAGGACCTACCACATTTGTCTCCCTGACGATTAATTTAAAGCTCAAAAGATTGTATGATGTGATGAGATTAGTAAAATAGGAAAGTCTTGGACAAATGTGCCTACGCTCAAGAATAGAAAATTACCAAATTTGATTGAATGAAATAGTAAAATTATCATTATTATTTTAGTATAGCTTTTGCGGATAACATGCCTAACTCTAGGAACCTATGCTGTCTTTACTTCACTTTCAAAAATATCTGCACATGGCTTGCACCTGCCATTGATAAAGCCATAACCTTAAATATAATCAGAATCTATTTATCTGTAATTTTAGTCTATTAAACTTCTTAAAAGTATATTATATGCTTGTTGGTATGTGAGGCAATTAAATCTTATTGCATTATATAAGCGCTTATTATCATATATAATGTTTACAATCACATTATTATGTACTTTTATAATTATATCTGGGTAAAATATTTAAAGTATAAAAGGACGAGTTTGACCAGATGTGTTTATAAAGAATATCGTATATAAGTTGTATAAGTAACACAAAAAGTGCCCAAAGCTGGTTAGTGGTATTTGTGTGAAAAAAAGGGGATGAACAGGGGGAGATATGGAATATGGAAACCAAGGCAGCTGACTCGATTTGTGTAGTCAAGCTTAGAGGCTACAATGAATGGGACGCTACGGTGGCCCATTGTGAATAGGTGGAGTTGATTTGAAGTTGCTTTTGAGGCAAAGTCACTTCGCTTCTGTGGAGCAAGCGAGGATGTGTAGATACGGAGGCAACGAAACGGTTGTTGGAAGACGTTTCCAAGACGATAGACACTGGGGGAACTCGGTCCCCTAAGCGAAGATGCAGAAAAGAGAAAGAGCAAAGTGAGTCGGTGTTGCAGACATTAGAAGAGGCAGGCTGAGCTGAAGTTGTTTGGTATCCATGCCAGATTGGCCGGCTCGGCTGACGACACTAAGGGGTCTGGCTAAGAGGCAACAGGCTGTGGGTGAGACGAGTGTCGTGACTTTCGACGGACGTAGCATGAGGCCAACTGGCAGTTTAAGCGAGAGAGCATATCGAGCGAAGAAACAGCGACGTTCGAATGTGGAGCTCAATGGCGGCGTGCAATGGCTAAGAGCTAGTCGCCTGAAGGATGAGTCAGGACGACCTACGGCTTAAACACTTGCCGGCTCCTGATTGGTTTGGAAGGGTAAAAATTGATTGGTCCAAAAGTAGGCTCGATGCAGTGGCGAGATTTGATTGGCCCACAAGGCAGCAGTGTTGATATTTTAAACTGGAGAGCACGTTATGTAATGAAACTAAAGGCGTAGTGAGAAAGATTAGGGATAACCCACTACAAGGATATAGTTTACTTGATAGAATAAGATATGAATAAATCATGCTAGCGAGGCGTTTAACAGGTTACATTTTTCTAGGTATGGAGAGAAGCTGGGCTTCGAAAAGTTCCTTACTAGATAGATATTAGCGTAACTTTCATTTCGATTGGAAAGGCGAGTGAACGGGATTCGTAAATTGTCCTCACTTGACACCGAAGAAGAATTGTTTGGATTGTACGAAGAAGACTTCTGCTCACTGTTCTGCTGGTTCGATGCATTTGTGGTAAGTTTTCACCCGTCGTGTGACGGAAATCGTCAGGGCCAGAGAGAATCATGTACGAAAAATTCACCAAAAATACATAACTCAGCCGGAATCCTACCTCTTATAATTTGAGATCCTAACTAAGACTGCTTAATATTGCTGATTATGATAGGTCCGCTGTTTAAAGGAATGTAAGAAAGGCTATTGAAATTAATAGTTTAGGGAATTCGTTGAAAGTGGGGAAAGGCGCTAACAAATTGAATAAGAACAACTCGTATTTGTTGAGTTCCCTTCCGTTCCGAGTGAAATTGCTTGGTGAGGAGATTAGAAGGTCGATCTCACCAGAAGACGAAGGCGTATTCTACTTGCCCAGCTGTTGAATGACTGGAACCATCTTGTTAACGCTGTTTCGGAGGCAATTTTCTTCGATTCCGGTCAAACCGGGCTAAGCTTTCGTCTGTCTTATGACGGACATCATCAGAATAGAACATCATCTTTACAACCATATTGAAGAGAACACCTCAAGTGAATCACCGACTTATCCCTAAATTGTTGTATATATTCTCTTTATCTAACCTTTTTGAGTAGATATAAAGCGATTTGGTTAGCCTGTAGAGGCAATTCCACAGAGAAATCAGGGCTAGTGGAGCACACGGCATAAACCAAACATCAGATTGAATGGTCCAAGGCTATACCTTTTGTTGGTAACGGTATGCCTGAAACTAAGTGCAAAATAAGAGTCCGTTGAAATTATCCGAATAGGCAACAGACAGAATGTCAGGAATGCCTGTAAGAAATTAAGTAAAAACTATTCATCGAAGGTATGAAGGCCATGACTACGATGCCAGCGAAACATCTGAGAATGTACCACGTCCACGGTCCGACTTTGCATATAATGGACTCCGGACTAAGTGCGTTCCTCTAAGTCTTCCTACCAATATGACCAAGTTGCGAAAACAAGGTCAAACAGCTTCTATACGAGTCCCTTCTGTTTACAGGCGAACAGGGTAACCTGGCGCCTGGAGCTGAGCCCAGCCTGGCAGCCGCTCTCGCCACAGCCTCGTTGCTGAACCCATCTGCCTTCGGGACCTCTGCCTCAGCCGCAAGGTCGTCCGGCGGCCTCCATCTGCCTCTCTCGATGCCCCTCTCGATGTCCTGCTCTTCCGGCCACAACGACCGACTTAACCGCCCCCTCACAGCGCATCTTCTGCCGGCCGGCCTCAGCGCGATGCTGCCTCGTCTGCCGGGACAGCACCAACCGACTCCGGTCACCTCGCACCTTCCCGGCCCCGGCGCCACCTCCGCCTCGGCCTCCACCTCCGCGTCGGCACCTTTTCCGAGCGGCCTCTCGGCCGCCGGACTGCTCGGCTCCAACTCGTTGCTGCCGAACTCGAGCCTGGGACCCAGCGACTCGGCCGGCTCTCTGCTTGCTGCCGCCGCCGCGCTCGCTTCGCTTTCGGCTCAATCACCACCGCCGCCACCAACCTCAGTCCCACTAACCGCCGCACTCTCGGTGGCCAATTCAATCGCCTCCTTCTCCACCAACCCCGTCGCCTCGATAACCACCGGCAGCACATACAGCGGTCTGTCCAACTCGGAGAACGGCTTTCCAGGCGGGCTCGTCTTCTCTGGTTGCGAGGCTTTTTCAGCCGCTGCTGCTGCCGCTGCAGCCGCAGCCGCCGCCGCCGTATCTGCCACCTCGACCGGATGCGGCGAACGCGGCGTCTGTACCGCCTTCAATGGCCCGGCAATCCTCCGACAGACGCAGACGACGGAAGCCCGTGTCGCATCGCCCAACGGCCTTACCGGCCTGCTTGCCTCGCCTCAAATGCATCCCGCCTCTCTGTTGCACGCGGCTCTGGCCGGGCCCCATCTTGGACAGGACTTTGCCTCTGGGTGAGTTCACCCCCCAAGAACGCTAATTTTGCACACTTTCCGGTTGAATAACTTACGAATCTGCTAGTAGGCTATTGTGGGAAAGTATGAAGACCAAGATGATGTGTGTGACTCACTGACGATGCCGACTACGATGCTTGCGAAATGTCTGGGAATGTACCACGTCCACAGTCCTACCCTGGAAATGATGATGCATACAATGGACTCCGGACTAAGTGTGTTCCTCTAAGTCTTCCTACAAATATGGCCAAGTTGCGAAAACAAGGTCAAACAACTTCAATTGTGGGAAAATTCATTATTAGCCACTCTTCACTTGCCCTATATACGGCTCGCGCTCCAGATCTTCTGAGAATTTTAAGTCTACTTAATGTGAATATAAGTAGCACAGTTGGCAAATACTAGTTTGCCGTATCCAACACAAAGTATAATGTGGAAGAGGTCTGACTAGCCTTGAATTTATGAGATGCATTCCCACCAACTAGTCAAGGTGATGAAGGACTGCTAGTTCAATTTTTCCATAATGCTATGAGCAAATCTTATCATTTCATTGAATTTCACATAGTCTTAATTCTCAAAAGGTACTCTCATCCAGGGTGGACTGCAGTTTCGACCTCGCACAGGTCTAATCAGCACCCCCAGATGAACTCGAACCGTAATAGTGCATCGTAAATGCTCGACAGGTTAACCACTACCAATCTTTTATCACTCTAACTAAATAGGAGGATACGTAGTGAAACTGGGTTTCGATGAATCTCTTAAATAGCATAGTTGGAGAGACATTTATTTCATATGAAAGTGCATGTAGAAGAGATTCATTGTTTGATCTCAACAAAAGACAACGGCTGAATCTCGTTGTACGGCAGCAGTTTGGATTTAATACGAAGTTCTCGTCGACGCAGTCAAAGAGACTTCTTCCCTCGTTTAGGGTGAAAACGGGCTGAGCTTTCTTCCATCATATGCTGGGCATCATCAGAGCTGGAACTCATTATTCTAAAAGTCGCACGTTAACAATTAACCAAGCCAGCCTTTATCTATTTATTACTTTTTCTTTTCTTTTTTGGTTATGAGTATATTCAAGAGTTAGGATATAGTCGGTTAGTCTTCTTGACCGAGTGTTAACATGAGACCTCAACAAGAAAGAGTTCCAGCTCTGATGGTGTCCAGCATATGATGAATGAAAGCTCAGCCCGTTTTCACCCGAAACGAGGGAGGATGTCTCGTTGACTGCGTCAACATGAACGTTGTATTAAATCCAAACGGCTGCAGTACAGCGGGATTCAGCCGTCGTCTTGTGTTAAGATTAACTTACGAATCTCTTCTCCATGCACTTTCATAGGAAATAAAGTCTCCTCAATAAGTTGGAAGAATATATCTCTTATATAGGAATAAGTAATATAGTCGATTGCTTCATCGGAAACCCTTCCATTGAATGTGATGACCGAAAATGTCTTGTCTTATTCAAAATTCACAACTGATCTGTGACCCAAGGGCATTCGTGGCAATGTGGCATAGTGGTTAATCTGTTAAACGCTGCCCTATTACATTTTGAGTCCTACTAGGGGCGCTGAGGTCGAAACTGCAGTCCAATCTGGATGTGAATATCTTTTGGGAAGCAAGATTATATTAAATTCAATGGGAACGTAAGGTATACTCATATCGTTATAGGAAAATTGATCTACCAGTCTCCTTCATCTCCTTAAAAGATAAGGTGAATTCTTCTCATATATATGATCTACTGGTAGTCTCGAAAATTTAGTTATAAACGAAAAATAGCATTGAATTACATGTCTGCCTTATGATGACCTACTGACATTTGTAGCAAAGTGAAGTAGTGGAAGTATGTTGAAAGTGTACGTCACACATCCAATGGTTCAAATCCCATTGGAGGCTCTGATGAGACTGAGGAGAGGTCATTACTGCAGTCTACACCTGCCTGAATGAGAATACCTGTTTGGAGGCAAGGCCAGGTTAAATTCAATCACATTGAATGACCTACTTTGCTCATTGTTGGAAAATTCAACTATACATCCTCCATTACTTTATGTATATTTCCTGCATAAACTTCTGTGAACTTACGGCGAGTGAATATATTTGAGTGTGGACTTGATTGTTGAAGTATTGAAGGTACCATAC